AACGGGTTCAATGAGCAAAATGGAGTTTGTTCAATGGGAGGTTGAATAGGGATCGAGAGGGTCTATCGGTAACAGCTTCTCTGTTTTTCTAGAGTAGGGGTAAGACGAATATCCTCCCTAGACCCCACTTGTGAAATTTACTGAAATTGTAGTAGTTGTTGTTGCAGGTTAACAAATTTGGGTTGAATATTGCCACCACTAAGTTACTATTGAGAATTTAAACACTTCAATCATGTAAAGAATCAATGAATCTGTACACTCGTGAACCTTTGATGAAATTCCCAATGATTAATTAGAAATAAGGCCAAGTAGCTGCTCATGTTTGTGACTGTTTTCCATCCACCATTGCTGGAAACCAATATTCTCACTGCTAGAATCCAACACATTCTCTTCTTCTACAGGAGCAGGCAGATTTAGATCCAAGAAATTTCTGATTTCTGGTATTGGTTTCTGTACTATTTCAACAGCTTGGTTATTGTTTCTTTTGGCCTCAGCAATCAAATGGGATCTCTTGTGACCACCTAATGCTTGACCTGATGAGAAAATCTTGAAACAAATTGGACACTCATGATTCTTTAGCTTCTTGGATCGGGAATTAGTCTCAATCTTTTCATTTATTGCACTCTCATTGCTGCCATTTTTGATAATCTTGATATGATCAACACCTTTATTTTCAATATTGCTATTTTCACCTTTAATATTTTTGTGGCTTGCCCTATGACCTCCTAGTGCTTGATAGGAATGGAAACTCTTATTGCAAGTAGAACACTCAAATTTTATTTTCTTGGAATTGAAATCCTCAGTTAAATCACACCCTTTGACTAACTCTTCAACAACTCTGTTTTCATTGTCTACTTTGATCTTCTTCTTTTTCTCATCATCAGTTGGAACTTGTGATTTGTCCCTTTTTTGACCATTTGACTTGGAGCTCTCACCTTGTTCTGTTTTCCCATTTTTGACCATTTTCAGCTTGACCAATTCACCATCTTTTTCATTTTGATGGGGTTGATAATTGTTATCAGAACACTCAATGACATGATTTTGACCAACCCAATTTCCAACATCTTTTGAAAGTAAGATCAAACTCATAGCAACTTCCTCTTGTAATTGATCATGTTCAATCTCAGAGATACAAGGTGAAGCATTATAAGCAACAGTTAAAGAAGAGGAAGCTGTATTAGCCATGTACCTTTTCAACCTTCTTGTTGATCTCTTTTTCTTATTTGGTGCTGCTGCTTCTGTATCAGATTGACTATCCATTACTAATTCCTTGTGATTATTAGCATTAGCACTGTTCCAAGAATCTTGTTCAACACTGTTATTCATTGATGAGATTCTCTCTGAGTGACATTTCATATGGCCAAATAAAGCTTTCCAAGATTGGAAACTTTTGCCACATTCTTTGCATACTTTGTTCTTCTGATTTTGAAGCAAAGTATCTTCTTCACTTGACTCTGCAAATTTTGAAGTTTTCTTGGGATTTTCCCTCAGCACATAATTAGCACTTTGATCACCAGCAGCTTCAGTTCCCATATCTAAATTTGGAAGCATTTTTCTTGTAGTATTTCCATCAGTTGAATTAATCATATGAGACCTCATATGACCACCTAAGGATCTACCACTATTGAAACTTTTGTTGCAGAATTTGCATACACGTTTCAGTATTTCTTGATCTTCTCCCATTGAATTGAATCAAATCAAATATCAAAATTCAAGAATCAAGAATATCAGATCAGATGATCAAGAAAAAAAAGTCCAACTTTTACCTAGTCTTGTTCTTTTCTATCTCAAAATGCTACAACTCTGTATGTAGAAAAAAATCCAAATTATGGTAGTAGCTCTTTCAGTAAATATGCAAATTATGATGGTGATGAACAAGCTAAAAAAAGAGAGAAGAAAACAAAAAAAAAAAAAAATAGAGCAGAGTAGTTTTAGTACTTTTCTCTTTCTTATGTTTTTCTCTCTCTTAGAACAACACTATGTTTGGCAAATTGGAGGAGAAATCCATGCATGGAAGCAAAGATAAAAAGAAGTGGTAAAGGGAAAGATAGTAGTAGCACGTGTACTCAACTGACAATACTACGCCAACCCAAATCCAACGGCTCAGATTGATCCTCCTATTTAGTATCTCTATTGTGTTGAGCTGACAACTGAGCTTAGCTAGCTAATGCTCAAAATAACTTACAACTGCTCTCAATAACTATTCTTTCCTTTGTCTTTGCTATTAAAGAAGCCCACAACTCAAAGTAAGACCAAAATTAAAAATTAAAGGTTCCACTCTTTGGCTGTTATTCTTTTAGGCTTATACTATTAAACTTTTCGTTTCTTTTGTATTTCCATTATTTTATGAGTTTACCTTCTTCTACACATAAATGGTCTAATATAATTCTTACATTGTCAAATCACAACTAACTGTCCATAAAATAGTAGAACGGTAATCTAAAAATTATCTACTATGTTAAAATATAATATTAGTTCAAAAATTCTATATACAGGTTAAATTTTCCAAAGACTTGAAATGATCCTTATTGTGGTTCTGTCATAGCTTGTTTGGATGGTTATTACCTATTGTATTGTATTGTATTATTACTTTTAAATATAATATTTATTTTATTGTTACTTAAATTTTATCATGTCGTTAAATCTGTCGTTACTTAACAACAAAAAGTGTCAATTTATGTAACAATCGATTTGGTGTGGTGGCGTCGTTACCTTGCTTTTTTCTCTCATCTTGCCCTTATTATTAAATAATCATATTTTATCCTTTATCCTATATCTTTATATAATAATTCTTGTTCATATCCTATTTTTCCTTAGTAATTTTGCAAGTATATTTTTATATTGTTGGTGCATGACATCATGAAACGAACAATACAAGCTATCCAAACATACAATATAATACAATACAATACAACAAAATACGATACGTTATGAAATGACACGTAACAACCATCCAACAATGCAATTAAAACATTTTTCTATGTAAAAAATTTTCAGACTCACAACCACAAATTTAGATCGAACCTATAGAGCGTGACAGCGTGAGCAAGAAAAGGCATCACCAGCACTCAGAATTAGCATTTAATTATTTACTTATTAATTATAGGCCAACCCAGAAAATTTTCTTGAATTTAGCTTCAAATAACATAAAGTACTTGTATTGATTTTAGTATCATAAACTCAAGTTGTAACACAAAGTTGACAGCAAAGAGAGCTAATTAGATGAAGTGAGAAAATTAAGTTGCCGGCCTTAATTAAGTTTTTAGCAGCTAAAGCCGGCTTTCATAGCACTAACCGCAACGTGAATATGTCTTAATATTAAGGACAAACTAATCACAATTTTGATGAAAGTTCCTCACCTTTTGTGCCTATTTTAGCCGGCACTAATAGTGCAACTTTACTTGTCTGTTTATTCATTTCTTTGAATTTTGCTAAGCAGTAGCACTTTGAGAGTAGTAGTTATACGTTTACATATAAATACAGTCGGACATCTCTATAACAGTATTCCTATATAACAACATTTCACTATAAAAGTCAAGCTTTTGCGGAACCAATTTTCATGTTATGTTATAATATATGTTCTCTATAACAACACTTTGCTATAATATCTAAAAATATCCGGAACAAACGAGGCGTTATAGAGAAGTTTGACTGTATATAAATATATGATTACGAGGAACAGAAAGACCCCCTTTATTTCTTTCTCTACTTAAAACCGTAATAAACAAACATTTTTTAAAGATCAAACATGTGCTTGCACATTATTTTGTGCCTAACTTTAGCTTGTGAACTATACACAATACATGCACTATGATGATTGTGTGTGGCAAAATTGTCTTGTGATTGGCCGAAGAATCTTGGATTTTAAAAGGCGAGTTCTTGACTAGATTTTAGTTTTTCTAGATTGATAGGTAACATTGACTAATTAAAAACTTAGAAAAAACATTGTCTGATAACTTGAATTAAATGGTAAATAACCACAAATATGGCTGAAATGTCATGGTGAATTTGTTTTAGAATTCAAAATTTGACTAATTCGTATGAAACACTGAAAAAATAAGAGATATAGTAGTTTTTTTCTAAGTCATGTGGTAACTACATAAAAGGAAGTGGGGTTCTTGATTTTTAACTAAAATAAAATAAAATTTGAAATCTTTGTGGAGTTATAGAGATATAAAAGTATTGCAGTTATTACTTATTTTACTCCCAATCAAAGATAGTTTAAATAGAGTGCGGTAACTCGCAGAGACGGATTCAAAATTTAAATTCTATGCATTCAAACATTATTATTTCTAGCATTGAACCTATATATTTCTAAAATTATGAGTTTACACCTATTTGTTTATAATTTTAATGACTTTTTATGCATAAATTTATATTCAGTATTGAAAGTAATGGATTAAGATAAATCGGGTGTTAATATGTTGTATGCGCCTCTGATAACTCGTATGAAACATGCGCTAAATAGAATAACATTTTGTCATTGTTTTTCCCATTTCCTCTAGCTGACTTACTAGATACATAGCTGGTGAGAAAGCTGTTCAACCACTTCTCCTTAATTAAGGTGTTGCACCAAACCAATTGGTGTCAAGTGCATGTCGTATGATTCTACATCTTAATTTTATATCCTAATTAATTACATCTTAATAATTTGACAAAGAGATGCAAAATCTTGTAGAAATTAATTAGAATCTCCTAGTTTAATTTGATGAGCTTCTACCATGTGGCTCAATTTATTACTACATACCACTTGACTAGCTAGCTAGCACTAATTATGGACCAAAGATTAGGTCATCTATACAACTACATTAAGGTTATATTTGTGTAAAAAAATGAAAAGCCTGCTAATATACATAATGCAGCATCAGGAAAAGAAGACAATTGTAAAGATATAGCATATGTTATTGCTCAAAGTGACTTCACTTGAGAGTGAAGAAGTCTTTTAGGTGTTTTGTTTTTCCAAAAGTGGATGCTACATATATATATTGACAACTGACACTCTCCCAAGTAAAGTTAATTTGGCCACTCCTTGTCTTTCTCCCATGCCCATTTTAAACATCAAGATGCCCTACTTTGCCTTTATGCTTGCTCAGTCAAGCTCAATCAATCTATCCTATAAACTACTCGTCCCCCGAGAGGCGGAGCTAGCCTATTAGGTGGGGCACGATCGAACCCATTCATTTTTACTTAAATACTATATTTGTATTAAAAAAATATATTAAATATGTATAAATATTTAATTGCAAACTTAATAATTAAGACAAGCTATGAGTTTAGTGGAAAATTCAATACTCATAAACTTTAAATCTGTCACCCCCTACATTTGGGGAAGAGGAAGTGGGAGAATTTTTAGAATTACTATTAATACTGAACAAAACAAAATTCTACTGGCTAGGAAGACAAGGAACTAGCATCCAATATTCCCTATTTCTGTATATTTTTCTTCTTCTGTCTTCTCTTTGTTACAAAATTGTCAAGGCTGTATATTTCAGCAACTAATTTCTCTTTTTTGTCATAGAGTATAAATCCAAAATTGCAGTGAATTCACAGCTTCATAGATGAGATGTTGTCATTAGGTTTAATTTTCTAAACGTAATTTACGGTACTGGGTCTTGAGTTAGCTCATTTCGACAAAATTTCAGTGGATTATTTATACTACTCATATGGACTCTTTGGTAACATAACCAGTATTTATATTACCTATTTAAAGTTATAACAACAACAACAATAAACCCAATGTAATTCAACAAGTGGGGTCTGAGAAAAGTAATGTATATGCAGACCTTATTCCTACCTTATAAAAATAGAGAGATTGTTTCCAATATCACCTATTTAAAGTTATAAAATAAAATAAAAGGCCAACATGTAAGACAATTAACTCTTTTGGAATTTCCTATTTGGGTATTGTAATTAATTCTTTCTTTTTCCCAAGAAGAAATGGATTACGTAAATATTTTGTTTAGATCCTAGTAGAGACAAACAATATTAGGTGATTTCCTTCCCCACCTATGTAAAATTCGGCGAGCCGAACTATATGATATTTGTGCTGATGGAAAATAGCAATTATCTGACAAATAATAGCAATGTGCGTTCAAGCTGATTCGTACGTCATAATATATAAATAAAAAATGAAAAATTGTCCATCTCGTGACACATCCCTTTTACCTCAAGTCAAAGCAAGAGGTACCAAGCCTTCGTTGTCGGTCACAGACGAAGGAGACTTGATGAAGAGCTTCACTTCCTCGCAAGCAAAACAAAAGTTAATGTGATTATATATAACTAAAGAGTGAGACACTAGTACCAGTAAAGTAAAGCTAATCTTTAGCTTAATTGGTCCACTATATTATGTGAATATGAGATCTGGCTATAGCTAGGTGACACCAGTCCATGATTAATAAAGAATTGGATTATAAGTAAAGTTCATTAATGATAAGCACGTCAATCCTTTAACAAATATAAAACATATTAACAACTAGCTACTGGTAGTATTTTCTTTGGTGGTTAGGTTCTTGAGAGTTCATGCTCATGAACTGTATCTCTTAGTTGAGAGAAGTTAGATAACGTACACCCAAAAAAGAAAAACTACCTTTATAAATTAAAAGAAAAAAACTACCTATATAAATTGAAAGAAATAAGAGCTAGCATGACTTAGCGGTTAATGAGATGAGTAAAAATTATAGAAGACCATAGTTCAAATTTCAGTAAAAACAAAAAATACTTAGTGACTTTGATTTCTTTTAATTGCCTTTTGATGGTAAAATTAGTTTATATTCATATTGATGAGAGATAGCAGATACTCAATAAAATAATCGAGTAACTGCCCAGACTATATATCTGTCTCACATACACATATATGTTTGTAGAGAAATGAAAAACGACGGAAAGGGGATGAGGAAATTGCAGAATTTTATTTAACTATAAGCCGCTTATATATAAAAATACGACCTACTTCTAAAAAAAATCTTTTTTTCCTAATAGTAGGCCGCGTTGCTTTAAAAGAGGAAATTTGAACCTTTTTAACTGTGGGCTGCTTTTGCCTCTCTGTTTAACAACGGGAACGA